AACTTAAAACTGAAATACCAAAGTCAAAATTTAAAGAACATAAAACATTAAAATTCTAAGACAAGAACATAAAACTGATAAAAGCTTGAGTGAAGTAAACTACTAAAGTACGTAGTATTAATTTTTTAACAAATAAATTAGTATTTAGAAGGCTGAGACGCTGACTCCGCTGAGGTCCTGCGCAGCTCGTCTTCAACTTCCCGTTTCTTGTTCGTTGCTATCGTAGTATTAAGTGGACCGGCGATTGGAATTGGGAAGACAGGAGGACCTAGGGCTGTGGCTAAGTGATAAACGATCCAGGTAATTTGTATTTTAGGATGTAAAAAATAAATCCAGGCCCCCCACTAATTAAAAAAAAAAGCCCAAAGTTGCGTCAAAAAAGAGGCGTACGCCTCTTGAACGCCCTGCGCATTTACGGCAGATGCACCGCCTCGTCAACAAAGGGCGTAAGCCTTGTTCCGGAAAGTGAAAGCTTAAGCCCTACATGCGTTAACAGAACGCATTTGCGCATTTGCGCCTCTGGTGCGTAAAGGCTAAACGCCTTTGAAAACCATGATTCTACCTGAAACCGCCTCAAATGGCGACGGCCGGACAGAGCCTCCTATAAAAGGGCTTATTTGCACTTTTTACGAAAGTTCGAGGGCTTATTTGGTAGTTTTCCCAACTTTAGATACCACTGTCTCGGAGCTTGTTTCAGACCATATAAGCCTCGTTTTAGTTTGTAGACCAGATTTTCTTTACCAGCAACTTGAAATCCTTCCGGCTGTGCCATGTAGATATTCTTATCAAGATCGCCATGTAGAAATGCTGTCCTAACATCTAGTTGCTCTAGATGTAAGCCCTCTATACAGATACAATGCTTAGAACCAATCTGATGGTGGTCATTCTGACCACAGCAGAAAAGATCTCATTATAATCCTACTCCCTTTTTCTGCTGAAAGCCTTTTACCACTAAATGGGCTTTGTACCGTTTTGACCCATCAGGTTCATCCTTGATTCTGAATACCCATTTATTTTGAAGTGCCTTTTTGCCTAGCGGAAGCTTAAGAACCCATGTCTTGTTCTTGTGTAAAGCACCCTTTTCTTCCTTCATAGTCTGCTCCCACTGAAATGAATCATTCTGCTTTACTGCTTCGAGGTAACTTTCTGGTTCTCCGTTTTCAGTCAAAAGAAGGTAATTGACTGATGGACTGAATCTTTGTGGAGGTTTAGTGACTCTAGAGGATCTCCTGACCCACTGTGTTTCAACTGGCTGCGGCTGCACGGGTGAATGTGCTCCTTCATTTTCTGAATATTCAGTATCAACAGTCTCCTTGATTATCCTCAAGTTCGTTAATACTGGAATCATTCTCCATGCTCCCACTGCCTTGAGTATCTTCAGACTGTGTTTCTGATGACATCATTTTCAAACTCAACCTGCTCTTTGTGAATCTTTGAGTTTTCTCTGCTTCTGTCTTTATAAAGTTCAGCCTCGTTGAATGTAACATGTTTCCTTCTGACTACTTTTCTGCTTTCAAAGTCCCATAGCCTGTAACCCATGCTGTCTCCATCGTATATCCAATGAAAGTATATTTCTTGGCTTTAATATCTAACTTGTCACCATTTTTCATAAGATCATAAACACTGCATCCAAATATCTTTAAATGCTCATACTTGACAGCTTCTCTTTTCCATTCTTCCTCCGGTATCTTGAAACCTAATGGTACTGATGGCCCCCGATTGATAAGATAAGCAACAATGTTCACCGCATCAGCCCAGAACGTCTTTGGAAGCCCAACATTAAGTCTCATACTTACTCCTGGCCCTCTCATTCAAAGTTATGTTCATCCTTTCTGCCACTCCGTTCTGTTGAGGAGTTGCTGGAACCGTCTTTATCATCCGAATGCCATGTTCAGCACAATAATCAATAAACCATGTGCTAATGTATTCACCACCATTGTCCGATTTCAAGCACTTTACCTTCAGATTAGTTTCCAACTCAACAACAGTTTTCCACTTCTTAAAAATATTGAAAACTTCAAACTTACTTTTAAGAAAGGAGACCCATACCTTGCGTGTTGAGTTATCAATGAAGGTCACATAGTAGTTTGATCCTCCCAAGGAAGAGACCGATGTTGGTCCAAAAACATCTGTGTGAATTAGCTCCAACTTCTGAGTTTTTGGTGTTTGTCCTGTCTTCAAAAAAGAAACCTTCTTTTTCTTTCCAAGTACATGAGGTTCACAGAACTCAGAATCCACCTTTTTCAAATCTAGAAGTTTCCCCCTTGCAACGAGCATCTTCATTCCCTTTTCACTCATGTGGCCAAGCCGTTGATGCCACAAACTGGATGGATTCAGCCCGCAGGTCACTGCATTCATCTCATCATCAGAAGCTTCAACCATGTATAAAGTATCCCTCTTTTTGCCTCTGGCGATTACAAGAATCCCCTTGACAACTTTCCATTGTCCTTCACCAAAAGTAACATCAAATCCCTGATCATCCAACTGCCCAATAGAAATCAGCATCTTCTTAAGGCTTGGAATGACCCGAACGTCTTTCAATGTCCAAGTGGTGCCCAAAGAAGTCTTTAAGCCTATGTCACCCATCCCTGTGATGTCAAGAGAGTCGTTATTAGCCAAACGAACTTTACCAAAATTACCTGTCCGTAGATTCTTCATCATCTTTGTGCTGAAAGCAGCATGAAAAGATGCACCAAAATCCATAATCCACGACTCTGTTGAGTTTTCAACACAACAAATAAGAGCATCATCTGAATCGTCAGTGGCTGCATTCACTTCCTTTCTTTTTGATGATTTAGGGCATTGATTTCTGAAATGCCCAATTTCTTTGCAATTCCAACACTGAATATCCTTTCTCGGTTTCGACTGGCTCCTCTTTCTAGACTTTGATCTGCCTCTGCCATTACCCTTCTCTTTCTTTCTACCTCTCCCTTCGGTGCTTAACAAAGCACTTGAAGATTCTCCAGAACTTCTCCTTTTTATATCTGTTGATAAAACGAAAAGACATCATTAATCTAGAATTTATTTTCCTTATTATTACTGTAATTATGTGTCTTTAGTGCTTCAGGTTGTATTTAATAGCTGCTGTCTTTTCAGTTCTAAATCATTTATGTTTAGTATTTAGACAGTCAACTAGGGTACTGAATAGACTCTCTCAGGATTCCTATCTGTATAAATAGCTTCTGTACTTCTTGTAAATGAATTCATGGAAATAATATTCAGAAAACTTCAATATCCTCTCCTAGGATAAAGTCACGAATGCCCTCAAATGTGAGTTTAGAGGTTCCAGCTGAACCGCTAATGGCAGTGACTGTTCCTGACCAACTTTCTGGTAACGAGGATAATAAGAGCAAAGTTTGGACTTCATCTTCAAACTTAATATGATATTAAACGAGATATGATAGTATTAAACTCATTAACATGTGAGGTAACAAATGCACCTTCTTTCATTCTGGTGTTTACTAGCTGTCTTATCAGAAATACCTTGTTTGATGCCGATGGTTTCTCATACATGTTTGACAAAGCCTTCATCAAACCACATGCAGTAGTCTCCTTCAGGATGTTAAACGCCACACTCTTGGCTAGGGTAAATCCGATAACAGCCAAAGCTTTCCTGGCTAGAGCAGCCCATTCATCATCACTCATTTTTTTGGTTTTTTTCCTGTCAAGGCTTGATCCAAATCCTTCTGACATAGCAAATCCTCAATTTGCATCTTCCACCATCCAAAATCTCTTCCATCAAACTTCCTGACTTTGGTTTTTCCATCATCTGCCATTGTCCCAATCCTTCACAATCTGCTGGCTATATTCTTCTGCGGCAGCGCACTGTTGACGGCACAAGGAGGCTGAAGACGCAAGGTGGCAGCAGTGGTGGTGGTTGAATATGTGGTGGTGGCTAACCTGTCTCTGATACCAGTTGTTAGGGTTAGGGTGCACACAGTCACACAAAAATTGAAAAACTAGAAGAGAACGAGAAAAACGACACGAATTTAATGTGGTTCAGCCAGTAGATGTTACTAACCTAATCCACGGGGGCAACTAGGGTTTTCTTTTCTTATTGAGATGATGAATGATACGATTAATTGTTTACAAGTGCAGGAGTCAATATATATAGGCTAACTATTAGGGTAAACACTTAATCAACTTCTGGGCCTGACTGCCACCAAAGAAACAGGCCCATCTAGGCTGGCTGCACACTTAATTAGGGCCGGCTGCTGCTCTTTGTTTAATTGGCTCCCAGATCTGAGTGGGCCGAAGCCTACAGCCCAACAGCGTACATCCGACCCTCCCCCCTACCCCACCGAAGGTGGGAGCCTTTGCGGCATTGGGGTAATGATTATGATGATGACTTTATCATATTCTGACCGCCATCATAACAAACCCCAAATATCAGATTGGTTTAAGGAAGGAAGGTCTGTACTGGTCGAACTTGAGGCAATTATTAGGTGTACATTCTCGATATTCCTGAAATTTGGGTATGTATTGTTGCAAAATATGAGGCAACCCGTTTCAAGATATTTGATATTTTGATAGTGGTAAGAGCACACAAGTTGATGTCTCAAACTTATGTGGCACATCTTTGACCTCCTCCCTTGGGATAAGACTATATTTGAAGCGGGTGACAATGATAGAGACAAAGGAAGTCAAAGACAACCAGCAATATAAGCGCAGTCAATAAATTATTCATTGTGGTAGATCATGAACAATGACTTGATTTAGCAAATGAAGTATTCAGAAATCAATGCAAGTATGTAACTTGGGAATCATAGGAGTTGGGGCGTTGGGAAGTCCTAGGTTGTTGGGCAAGTTATCTTCCTAGGGAATTCCTTCTGTTATTTCTTACTCTTTTAATTCTTCTACATGTACGTTTCTTCAAGTTCTTTCAATTTTATAAAACATCGGCGTCTTTCTTGATCATTTCTCTGATTGCCTCTTTACCCTTTATCAGATCTTTTGCTAGCTAAGATGATTCTGAAACTCAAGCTCTCATAAACTGGCAGGATGAAGCTGGTGGAGGTTTAGTATTCTGGCATCCCAAGGGAGCTATTGTGAGGCACATAATAGAAGGTGCCTGGAAGAAAATTCATATGGAACGTGGGTATGATCTGCTATATACTCCCCATGTAGCTAAGGCAGATCTTTGGAAGATAAGCGGCCATGTAGATTTCTACAAGGAGAATATGTTTGATCAAATGGAGATTGAGAACGAGATTTATCAGCTTCGACCAATGAATTGTCCATACCATATTTTGGTTTACAAAAGGAAACTACACTCGTTCCGGGATTTCCCAATCAGGGTTGCAGAGCTGGGAACGGTGTACAGATATGAGTTGTCTGGGAGCTTACATGGCCTTTTCCGCGTAAGAGGCTTTACCCAGGTATGATCACTCGATTCCTCTCTCACACTCCCTCTCTCTCACCCACCCACTGACTTTTTATGAGTCTTGTGATCTTCTATGGATGAATGAATTACCATTGATCTTGGAGTCGGCCAACATTATTACTTTTTGAAAATGTGATAATTTGGTTTCTAGCCCAACAAAGATGCGTCGTTTTCCACCATATAGTGGATAATAAAGAGTACTATGGCAGTTAATAATTGCTTTATGTCTCATTATATCTGTGTAACATGAAGCAATATAAAAAAATATTTATAGTAGTGTATACTAAAAAATGGTGTACGCCACCATTGGCGTCCCCCAACCGCTGGCCCGACATTGGATGGAGGAGATAAATCTCGGTGACTCGAGCAATTGATGGGAATTGGTTGATCCCATAACCTCCTTCTCAACCACTTGAGCTACCCGGATGGGCTAGTAGTGTATACTCTGTATATTAGATAGGAGTAATGAAATGGTACTCAAGAAACTCATAACCTTCTTCCATTTTAATGTCACGCCTTTTGTTTGTTTCAAGGACGATGCACATGTATTTTGCTTGGAGGATCAAATGAAAGATGAAATATTGGGTGTACTAGACCTTACAGAGGAAATATTGCAACAATTTGGTTTTGTGAAGTATGAGGTCAACCTTTCGACTAGGCCTGAGAAAGCTGTTGGAAATGATGATATATGGAAAAAAGCAACTTCTGCACTTCAGGATGCTTTGTCTGGCAAAGGGTGGAGCTATCAGATAGATGAAGGAGGGGGTGCTTTTTATGGTCCCAAGATTGATCTCAAAATTGAAGATGCTCTGGGAAGAAAGTGGCAATGCTCCACCATACAGGCATGTTTACTGCTCCCATAATCGTTGTAAATCCATCAAGAAAATAAAGTCTGGGTAAGAAACATCCTAATAAGCAATCTTATTTGAGTATAGGTGGACTTTAATTTACCGGAAAGGTTTGAGATGTCGTATGTTGACTCAGACCAAGTGAAGAAGCGCCCAATCTTAATCCACAGGGCAGTTCTTGGATCTCTAGAGCGCTTTTTCGGCATCCTGATAGAGCATTATGCTGGCGATTTTCCTTTATGGCTTTCTCCAATCCAAACTCGCCTTATACCCGTGACTAACACACAGGTATGTTGTATACTTTCCTCCTTAGTGTGATCCATTTGTATGTGAATAATTATCATTTCATTTCAGTACTTATTGTTACATCCAAGTCCAATTGATTTTGCTTTATTTGCACCATGAAAGAAATATCTGCAGTGAGCAACTGTGTATCTGACGTCACAACTTGAGGGGTCAAATAAGCCCCTCAAGTTGTTCAGTATTAAAGGATACTTGAGGGGTCACATAAGCCCCCTCAACTTGTTATTTATTTTTGGGAAAACTGTTAAATAGGTCCTCGAACTTTCATAAAAAGGTCAATTAAGTCCTTCTATAGGAGATTCTGTCCGGCCGTCGCGATTTGGGGCAGTTCCCGGTGGAATTTTTTGATGAAATTTTTTGAGCATTTTATTCACCAAGTCTAGTTTACTCATACCAAATTTCAGCTAAAAATTCATTCGGGAACACATTCAAATTAATTCTTTAAGATAACTGCGCATTTTTGCGGTCTCGAATTAATTTGAATGCGCTCCCGATTATATTTTTAGCTGAAATTTGGTATGAGTAAACTAGACTTGATGAATAAGATGCTCAAAAAATTTCATCAAAAAATTCCACCGGGAACTGCCTCAAATCGCGACTACCTATAGAAGGACTCAATTGATTTTTTAATGAGAGTTCGAGCACCTATTTGACAATTTTCCCATTATTATTTTTCAATAAGCCCAATTGTACAACTGTGTATCTGACGTGACAACTTGAGGGGTCAAATAAGCCCTCAAGTTGTATTTGACGTGGCAACCGAGTTGTTCGGTACTTCAGTTCACTCCTAACCAATTTTGATACTTTTTATCTTGTTAAAAAGTGTCAAAATTGTGAAAGTAATAGAAAATATAAATATTAAACAAAGTACAAGTTGTAATCTAAAATTAGACATTTATAAAACAAGATAAATAGAGAATATTTATTTTTTTCAATAAATTCAAATTGCAAATAAAATATAAGCTAAAATAAAGTCTATTCTATTCATAGTTGTTACGGCGTCGCCTAGGCGCCCACTAGTCATCCTGGCAGTGGAGGAGGGACGCCGCGCTCAACCGACTCGCCTGAAGCTGTCAAGGCACAAGTTGGCGTCAATTAGGCGTTTGGAAGTCGTCCTGGTGACGCCTTGGTCCAGTTTTCACTAACCGACCCGTCGGCCCGAACCCTAGGCCCTTCAACGTCGGTTAGGTAGCCGTTGCAGGTCACCACCTCTGGTCACCGTCGCTGGTCGCAACCGCTGGTCTGGCTCCATCTTCTCTCTCTCTCGTTCCCGTTTTTAATGTCACAACGGTCGTTTGCTTTATTTCACCTTGTTTGTCTGGACTTATCTTTTAATCTTTAGCCCATGTCTTACAGAGTAAGGGTATGACAGAGTAAGGGTATCTTACGGTACACTTATTATTTACAGCTGGAGTCCATCTAATATCTCTGTCCATCCCTTTGAATAAATGTCTGCTACACTTGCATTATTCTGCAATTTTTTTTTTGATAATCCAGGTGTCGGGGCTTACGCTCCCATAATCATGGAGTCTATGAACTACCCTCCAAAGCCCCTAGAAAGTTAAATCCGGATCTGATTACAGTCAGACTCGTCAGTACTAGCTCCAAAGGACGAATCCAGCAGGACTTGCATCACCTTTCAGGCTGCTCCTCCCACCACACGAACCCGCTACCTTCATTACCATCCTCTTCCTTCTCAGCCGTTGAGCAACTCCGTGAAGGTAGGAAGAATCATTGGGAGCAAGACCTCCCTCATCTCCCCTTAGTGGGAATTGAACCCAAGACCTCCCACAAAGGAAAGACTTGGGGTGGATGGTCATCCAATGCATTATTCTACAAATTATTACCTTTGTGGAAATTTATATTGAACATTTGTTGTAGATAAATAATTAAATTGTCATATATTTTCTCATCTAGTTTATCCTTTTACTTTGTTTTATATTTTTTTATTTTTAAAGTTTTTAATTTAATTTCTAATATATTATAATAATGTTATATAATATATGTCTATTATAATAATGTTATATATATGAAGTGACTTGGGGCCTAGTTGTCGCCTAGGCAGACGCCTAGATGCCTAGGCGATAAGGCGGTCCGCGGGCGCCGCGCCCCGCCTAACCGCCGAAACAAGTATGATTCTATTTCCATTTTTATATTTATATTATGTACATATATATAATGTGATAGCTGATATATATGTTTGTGCACATACACAGATGTGAGTCTGTGCATACACATACACATTAGCTTACTTTATATACAATAAAGTAGACATAATTAGTACGTAGTATATATAACTAGTAAAAATTAATATAATATGTATATCAAAGAACTAATATAAAGATGTAATTACTATTTTATATTTTACGTTTTACCCTGCCGCATTTCGAAGATTTCCTGGGGGGTCTTGCGAGGTGCTATCGGCCAGACTCAACTTGGCTTGGGATGGAGGGGACGTCAAGAAGGTCGTGGTGCGGTAGCGCTGCGTAGCGAGGGAGCAGAAAGGCTATCTACATATTGGGTGGGTATGTAGATGTTGGAAAGCACAAAGAGATGGTTATGGCGGACCAGAGTTCGGCCGGTATGGAAGATCAATCACAACGATACTGATGAGCCGACCTCTTTCTGAACCACTACCATGAGTTGAATGAGGTGCTAGGGTTTATAGGGACGATTGAAAATTTAGCTTATTTTTATGTTGTTAAAAGTATACAAATCTATAGGACCAATAATAGTTGGTGGAGGGCGGTTAATGTTAGATGTGATTTTTCTTTGATTGATGTAACGATCTTGAAACTAATGATATAAATATAGACGATTTCCTTTCAAAAATAAATACGGAGTACAATAGTATGAACAAATATATAAACCATTATATTTCACCCAAACTTTATTTACCTTCAAATCGTCCTTTCTCTTTGTGGATATTTCCTTCTTTTTAGCATTTTATGATGAATGAATAGAAACATTATTTATAAGATCAATTGATACACATGCACACATTGCTTGCAGCTTGACTTTTGTAAGGAGACGGTGAAGAGATTAAAGGCAAGTGGTATCCGTGCTGATCTATGCAGTGGTGAGCGTTTGTCAAAGCTGATCAGAAATGCAGAGAAGCAGAAGATCCCATTGATGGCTGTGATAGGCCCGAAAGAAGTAGAAACTAACACTATCACCGTCAGATCAAGATTTGGTGGTGAATTGGGGACCATGCGTGTCGATGATTTCATAAGGAAAGCCAATAATGCGATTGAATGCAGAACATTCATTTGAATTGCATCCTTTATTTTTTATTTTTTACTTCCTGGTATCTATGGATTGGTAACTTGAAATGGTGAAATAAAGAATTAGCAAAGCTTTGTGCGTGATAAATTGCTTCTTGAACAAATCTTTTTGTACACGTCCCATTTTGTGCGAGTCATCGACACTTTTTTGTTTGTAAGATGAATTGTTTGTGAGTTGTGACTTTAGGGTATTTAGATCGGATTCTTAAAACTGTTTCCGCTTCTTCATAGGGATGGACTCGGGCCGGGCCAACCGGCCGGAACCGGACCGGCCCACTACTGTGCGGGCCCGGACCGACCTGGTTTGGCGGTTAGTGCCCGGTTCGGGCCACCCGGCCCGGTCTTCAAGCGGTTCGGTCCTGGGCCTAGATTTCAGTGAACCGACCCGGCCGGGCCTCAACGGTAACAATTTTTTTTTTTTAAATAATAGAAGGCTCCATAGCCGTTGGGAAAGCTCCCAAATGACTCTATAGCCGTTGGGAGCATAGGAGGGGGGGAGGGGGGGGGGTCTGGGGGGTTAGGTGGGGTGGGGTGGGGGTGGGGTATACAAAAAAAACTTATTTATACTCCTATTTTCTATACATTTTTTACACCTCTTCTACAACTCTTCCTATTCTCTAAATTCTCTATTCTCTCAATCTCTCATATTCAATCATCTTCATTCTTCATCTTCTCCAAATTCTTTCTACATATATATAATTTATATAATTATTATATCTACTTATATATTAATTATCTACTTATAAATATATACTTATACACATTCATATTATAATTCTTTACGCATTATATTATATATACTATATATAGTTATACATTATATTATATATTACTTATAATATATTTACACATTATATATTTATATATACTATATATACTTATACAGTTATACTCATTGACTTCTCGTTTATATACTATATTCTTTACACATTATATTATATATACTATATATAGTTATACATACATTTTATAAAAGCAGTTAATTGTTAGACTTCTTGTTTATCTATTAAATTACTTAATTGTTTCATTTGTCATATTAATATTAGTTAAAGTAGTTAATTGTTTCATTTGTCATATTAATATTAGTTAAAGTAGTTAATTGTTTCATTTGTCATATTAATATTAGTTAAAGTAGTTAAAGTTAATTGTTTCATTTGTCATATTAATATTAGTTAAACTACTTAATTGTTACATTTCTCATATTAATATTAGTTAATTGCTACATTGCTCATTAAAGTAGTTAATTTTTACATTTCTCTTATTAGTTAATTGCTACATTGCTCATTCAAGTAAAAAAAAGTAATTAATTTTTACATTTCTCATATTAGTTAATTACTTAATTGCTACATTTTTACATTTCTCATATTCGTTAATTGCTACATTTGTCATTAAAGTAAAAAAAGTAGTTAATTTTTACATTTCTCATATTAGTTAATTGCTACATTTTTACATTTCTCATATTAGTTAATTGCTACATTTGTAATTAAAGTAAAAAAAGTAGTTAATTTTTACATTTCTCATATTAGTTAATTGCTACATTTTTACATTTCTCATATTAGTTAATTGCTACATTTGTCATTAAAGTAAAAAAAAGTAGTTAATTTTTACATTTCTCATATTAGTTAATTGCTACATTTTTACATTTATCATATTAGTTAATTGCTACATTTCTCATTAAAGTAAAAAAAGTAGTTAATTTTTACATTTCTCATATTAGTTAATTGCTACATTTTTACATTTCTCATATTAGTTAATTGCTAATATTTGTTCAATTTTAAAGATGGAGCGTGGTAGACATTCTGTAGATGTGAGTACTCTCCAACGCAACCGCAAGAGGGAGATTGCATCGACTCGGTCTACTTCACGCAAAGGCAAAGGTAAAGCGCGAGCCGAGTCTTCTTTTCAAAGTCGAGATGATTTTGAAACGAATTACCAACGGCGAGATGATATGATGATGTCCGACGAGCAACTACAACACCTATTGTCCCAAAATGATCCACGTTTTGCACAAGAACAACAATTCCCGACAACCATCGATAAAGAAGAGCTCGAGCATGACGATGCGGAGGAGGACGCGGGGGGCGACGGGACTCCGGATGATGAGCAAGAGTTGGAGGACGAGGGCCGTTCAATGACTACAACCCAAATTGGTAAGAAATCTAAATCTCCTATTATTGAAAACAATTATACAAAAAGGAAAGACGAAAAAACTGAAAAATGGTACGCAAGTTGCAATCATTGCAAGAAAGAGTTTAGCTTGGGAACTTCTGGCGGATACGGGAGTCTCAAAAGGCATCTTCAGTCCGCCCACTTTGTGGAGTATGCGAAAATAGACAAAGGCAAGGGGAAGCAAACACAAATATCGAGGTTTGCAAATTCTCAACCCTTTGGTAATTTTTCCTATGATGATAAAAAACATTTAACTGGTATGTCTCATTTAATTGTTGAAGAAAATTTACCCTATATTTTTTCCGAAAGTCTTGCTTTAAGAGATTATGCTCAAGGTACTTTAAATCCTCAATTTAGAAATTATAGTTGCAAAACGATTAAAAAAGAAGTTATAAGGCAATATAACTTGGAAAAAGAAAAATTACAAATATTTTTCGCAAACTTTGATGGACGTGTTAGTATTTGTAGCGATATATGGGAGGATACTTATCATCATTTATATAATTTGGGTCTTACTGCACATTATATTGATGGTGATTGGAATATGCATACACGTGTTCTTGCTTTTCGTGAATTCAATGCTCGTCACACTGCTGATAATATTTATATTCTCATTGAACGTATTTTAATTGAGTATAATTTGATTGATAAGGTGTTTGCTGTAGGTTTTGATAATGCTAGTAATAATACTGCTGCTATACCTAGATTACGTGAATTGTGTGGTGCTTCTACATTGATGGGTAGGTTTTTTCATCAACGTTGTGCATGTCATATTCTAAATTTGTGTGTACAAGATGGTTTAGCGGCATTAGGAAATGCTTTGGAGGTAGTGAAGGGGGGAATTAAATTGATTTGGGCTAGCACTCCACTAAAAATGCAATGACGGCAATATTTGAAGGATAGACGTGTCAATTATTGTGCTTTTCCTAAAGATTTGTCTATTCGTTGGAATAGTACTTATAATTTAATTCAAGTACTTGTTAGATATAAAGATCATTTTCCAGCTTTTTTAAGACAAACTTGTAACTATATTATAAACCCGGCTGACATCGACACTTGTGAAAAAATTGTTAATGTTTTGGCACATTTTAATAACGCAACTCTAACTTTTAGTCATGTTTATAAACCTACCACAAACGATTTTTTTGTTGAAGCTGTTAATCTCACCGGCGCTTTTTGTGAATTTTCCGAAGCCACTTACGTTAGTTATTTTTGTGATTTCATGAAACAAAAGTTTTTAAAATATTATTCACATATTCCGCATATATATGATATTGCATTTGTTCTTGATCCTCGTTATAAACTTGCTTACTTGGCAAATTGTATAGATTATGTTGGGATATTGATCCAGAGACCCAATACCCGGATCAAGAAGGCCCAAGATACCCGGCCCAAGCAACGGGCCCATCACTCTATGATGAGTAGATCCAGTGAAGAATTCATGCCGAATGAGATTCGGCCCAAGTAAGGGTTGGCCCAGTAAGAAGACATACCGAACGGAGTTCGGGCTATATATCATACTTGGGCCAATTTGGCAGCGTTTTCAGCATAGTCCAACATCCCGTTCGAGCAACGGACAACCGGCAAGTGGCCAGGTGCAATTAATGCCAGATTGTGACATCAGCAAGTGGAAACATGAGAGATCAAGTCGGTGGAACAACAGCCAATCAGCATAGGGCAGCCCATGCTCTCCATTAGTATAAATAGAAGGTTTAAAATAATTGTAAGGGTTAGCATTTCAATACTCAGACTCTAGAATAACATTATTGCTCTTATTTCTTGTATTAAAGCGTTGTTTCCGACCTACCGATCGGGAATTTCCTTGTAATCAGACTGGTTAATTAATACAAGTGAACTTTCGAGTATTAGTGAGTTCATATTTTATATTTTGATTATACACTTTGATTCTGTACCATTCCTGATATATCCAAAGTTCGTGTTGGGCTTTCGGATCTACGGGATTTACCTTCAACAAATTACTATTATGCTTCTTTTTTTCCAACTCAAGAGTTCGATGATAATCCCATCGACCCTAAACAAGAATTCAATGAGGTTAGTAATTTATTTCATCAATTGTATAATGAATTTCATGCACAATATGGTAATGCACCTCCTCCCATGCAACGAACATCTTCTTCATCTAAAGGAAAATCACTTTTAAAATCCGCTTTTGGTTCTCTTTTGAAAAAAAGTAGAGCAACTCCCGCTACTGAACAAAGCTCAGGTAACGAGCTTTCTTTGTATCTAACATTGAATGTTGATTATGAAGTTGGTGATGACTTTGACGTTCTTAAGTGGTGGAAGGAAAATGAAAGAACATTCCCGATTTTATCAAAGATGGCTAAGCAAGTCCTAGCAATGCCGATATCAACCGTTGCTGTGGAACAAGAATTTAGTGCGGCCGGCAACGTCCTAACCGATTATAGAACGAGGTTGAGCCCGAGCTCTCTTGAGACACTATTTTGCTTTCACGATTGGTTGAAGGCCCATCGAAGAACTCAAGAAAATACCATCACTCCCACCCGCCACTTTATGGAGGAAACAACCGAAGGCGAAGATTCCGATTGATTTTTTATTACAAAATGTATTACATTTTTTAAATTCATCCTAATTCTCAATTGTACTTCTTATTTGAAATAAATATACTTGAATTCGAATATAATATATTGTAATTGTAATAAGAATTATTCTAATAATATAATATATATATATATATATATATATATATATAAAAATTAAAAGGCCCGGCCCGTGAACCGGGCGGGTGACCCGAACCGAATCGGACCCGGGGTTATCCGGGCCGGTTCCGGGCCTGCCTTCCGTGAACCGAGGCCCGTCCGGTTCTAGGCCCGAACCGGGCCCGGCCCGAACCGAGTCCACCACTACTTCTTCACGGAGCAGAAACATAAGTTAGAGTGTTTGGATGAAGGTGCAGAAGTACTTCTGGAGTTTTGGTGCACTAATTTACTCTATGAATCAGTTTTTTAGAA